GCCTGTAAAGGGCCCACTCTAACCTAACGAGGGTCTATCATGACCCATAGAGGTCCCAGTCTGGGCTGTCGTGCATCCGTTCTAAGCTGTAGAGGGCTCATTATTGACTATGGAGGGCTTATTTCGTCCTGAACGAAGCCCATTCTGATGCTATGGGGCCATTCTGATCCGTAGAGTTCCCATTATTTGCTGTAAAAGGTCCGTTCCGGCTTGCATAGTGCCCACTAATAATCATAAAGGCCCATTTTGGCCGTTCACCCAACTAAAACATAGTTACTGCGCCCATGGCGGCCACGCGTTTGTGGCGTTTGACCCGCTCTGGGACCTGAACCTGCTGATCACACCCATGACGGGCCAGGCGTGTTGCATGGCTGCTTTGGCCTTACCAAAGAAGAGCTGCTTGACGGAAAATAAAAAGCGACGTGCTCCATGTGCCAGGAGCATCAAAAGGGCTCCGAGAGATTCACGATTCAGCGGCTCCCACGTATCTTCGTGGCGCACCTGAAACTACTCTTGCTGCAGCTGGATCAGAACGGAAATGAGCTCAATGTCACTGCGGACTGCTACTCCGGTAGTCTGGACTTAACACCATACTTTGCCGTGTCGGGAGACCGCAAGTACAGCGTCTTCGGTGTGACACACCATTCTGGTGTGGTGTGCTTGGGCTACCACACGATAACCGTATACACACCTGTTTTGAAGTCCGGTATGAGTGCAACGATTCCAGAGGCCAGCCCATCCTTATGCACCGCGCCAACAGCAGCGAAGCATACATCCTGCTTTTCGATCTGGTCAGTCACTGACCTGGTGCCGACCTGAACGGCAGTACACGAAGGAGTTGGAGAGGGCTGTCCCAACTCCAGTCCTGCCGGTTAATTGATTTTGTAATGCTTAGGTCTTCCCATACACGAGAGGCTTTTATGGGTGCGCTGTGCATTTGACAGTGCGCACTGATGAAGTAAGCATATTTCTGAGGTGAAACGAAAACTGGTAGTATTCCTGTGTAAAATTGAATGGCTATATTGAAAGCCATTACGACATTCCATGCCTTTTGTTTGTGTTTATCCAAACTTGCATGAAGTTCAGATTTGCTACCAAATTTTGATGTCTGTCTAGGAAGGTTAGCTTGAAAAGTCAATCCTCAGGCAGCCTGGCGTCGTAATTGTGTGCCATAGGGTGGTCTTATTGCATTATTTCCTTCCTTCGTCGAAGACAAAATACGCCGCAATAGTCACACTAGGTTTTGGCCGCAGTACGCCCTTCTGGGAAACGGGTATGCAATTGCGATAGTGATGCTTTCCTTCCATCGGTTTTAGTGCACAATGTATCGGTCAAACAAACCAAAACGGTTGTCAGTTTTTTTTTGTCAGCGACTGGAAGGCTGCTTTTTCGTACGTGGATATTTTGGTTTACCTGGATAAATGAAACTACAAAACATTTTCGAAGCCTTTTGACGTTTGAAATGTGGACGCAAAATGGCCCCAAAAGTCGGCGCGCCCCTAAAACCCCAATCATCATCGACGTTTGAAATGGGCACAGGAATGCGATGCTTCCAGCTGAAATATACGTGGAAGCTCGTCAGTCCGCTTTCGTTCGGAGGCGTTCTGAAAGCGTCCGATATTTGGAAACGTGCTCGAGAAGGAACTGTATTTAAAAGACAGTAGAACATATCCCACACAAAACAGTATCCATTGGAACACCATAATGTCACAGCAATTTTGTCCCATATGTCCTCACATAGACATAGCAAACAATCCATGGAATGGTCATACTTGCAAAGAGAAAAAGGTAATGCGCATATGTGGGGCCTGCGCAAAATACCCACGGCATAAATAAAAATACGAACAGACCGAATGCCAGCATGGTGCCAAAGAATGTGAATGTTGTCCATTGACGTGCCTTTATGTTGTTCAAGTGCTTTTTTGTAACGTTCAGTTCTTGCCTTCCGTGCCGTGATGTCCTCTCCCCTCCCTGGTCACCATCCGCCGCGACCCCTTGTTGTGACCCCTTTTCGTGATCCCTCGCCTCGACCCACGTTGAAATACGGATCGTGCTTGGCGTGCCTTTGGTCTCCATGTGAGCCTGTCTCGGTCCTGTGCGGGGTTTAGATGCAGAGCACGGCGTCGGTCGTGCTCTCCTCGATCCATGTCAGCGCCGATGTGACGCGTGCAAACACGTCCGGAGTGTTGGGGTTAGCGCAAGGGCTGCCCAGCGATGTGAGCCCGATGAGCGTTGTAGCGGTCGGAGACGGACGTCACCAGCGGGCCGCCGCTGTCGCCGTTGCAGACGCCCTTGCCGCCGGAGGGGAGCCCACCGGCGCAGATCATGCTTTCACGCACAAGGCTGCCCCAGATCTGCGTACAGCGCGTCTGCGTCAAGACGGGCAGCTCGACCTCGAGGAGCATGTCGGCCTGCGGCATGTTGGCCCCAACGCGGCCGAAGCCGGTGGCCACGGCCGTGACGCCGGCGTACGTCTGGCCGGCCTGCGGCAGGCAGACGGGAGCCACCCGGCTGTCGTAGACGATGGTGCGGTCCAGGCGCAGCAGGTGAGAAGTCGTACCCGGTACTGGCACTAACAAACTGCGGGTGCTGCAGGATCTGGACGACCGGGGTACCGGGTCTCGCCGTCCGGCACACTGATCCGGTGGTCGCCGAGCAGCACCTGGATCTGGGAGGCAGATGCTCCGGCCGTGCAGTGCGCCGCCGTCAGCACGTACCGGCTATTGATGACGCTGCCGCCCGCAGAAGGTGCGCGTGCCACCGGGGCGCACCAGGCCGGCCTGCCACGGGTACTCGTTGACGTCGGTCTCGGTGCCGCCCACGACCCTGCTGCGCCGGTTGGCCTGGCCGCAGCAGGAACTGGTGGACGGCATCGTCGTCGTCGTCGGCCGCGTCGTGTTCGTTGGCTGCGTTGTCGTCGGCCGCGTCGTCGTCGTTGGCTGCGTTGTCGTCGGCCGCGTCGTCGTCGTTGGCTGCGTTGTCGTCGGCCCGCGTCGTCGTCGTTGGCTGCGTTGTCGTCGGTTGCGTCGTTGTCATCGGCGGCGCCGTTGTAGCGACGGCGGGCACGGTGATGAAGCAGATGAAGCCTCGGCGTGTAACGCGGCGGTTCGTCCTAAACCGAATCCTCAGCGAGGTACTGCTTTGCTGGCGGATTCTGCCTGTTCCGCAGTACCTGACCCTATTGATAGCAAGCCAGTCAGCCGCACAGAATCTCCTTCTCTCTATATCGACGTCGGGGCAGCGGATGCGGATGGCCTGGTTCTGCCTGCCTCGCAGGGTTATGTAGACGATATTGATGTTATTACGATAATTTCTGGGGTAACGAGGAGATGCAATATAATACCGACCAGGAGGAAGTCGCAAGACGTTACGGCGGGACCTCCCGTTAAGCTCGCCATTTAGTTTCATCTCGTTCACCCCCCGCTTTAGACTCACCCCGTGTACTCCCCGCTTCAGACTCAGCCCGTTTGCCCCCCGCTTTACACTTAGCAACAAAGCCGCCGCCTCCAGCTTCTCTTCTGACTTGGCAGGCACGATTTGTGGATCAAAGGCTAAAGGACCACGTGAAAAATCGTTCCCGTTCAACGCTTCAAGCGACAGGAGTGACGCGCTCTCATCTAGACGCCCACCGTCGCGGGACATTTCTGCCACTAGTTGCTTCCCCCGCTGAGAGGGCACGGCGAGGGAGCCACCCACGACCAAACACCACGTCAGGACGAGGGTGTTCATGGCTGGTTGGTGATCCGTGCAGCGTTGCAATCAGCTTATATGCCCCTTCAGCCGAGCACAGGTGTGCACAGGTGTCCGATGTCGTATCCGGTGCATCGACATCGCTGACAGTGCTCTCATGTCAGGGGAATTAGAGGTCATACAGGGTGTGGTTTCTAGGGCGGCCGCTGCACCAGTCATCATGTTCCGCAGAAAGACATGTTTGATGGTATTGAACCTAGGTGTGGGGAATCATCTTTCGTTTTTATTGCGCACGTTGTGACGAAAAGACCGGAACCGAAACCTAACCCGTGCCCGGCCGGGGGTCTGAGACAAGCGCGCCGGGCCGGGGAGGGGGAAAATTGACCTTCCCCTGTGATGTCCAACTTACAGACAGCGTATGAGAAAACAAAGATACCGTTTTGAACGTCTCGTCAAATCACGAATCATGCACCCGAGATTTGTGACCTTGTGTCAAATGTGAGATTACCAAAAGCCACGAAAGGTCAAAAACTGCCGTTTTGATGGATGCAGGTAAAACTTATTTTAAGGCGTCAAGATGCACGAGAGCACGGAAATAAGCGTTAAGGCTGTGGGGAGTCCATTCCGGATATTCCTGTCACCCTACACGGGCCAGGTCAAATCAGCTCATCACTCAGAATTGATCTACCAGGAGCCCACGAGAACGATATTTTTCTTGACAATGTGCTTCTGACTAAGTTTATTTTATTAGATGTAGCTGTAGGAAAACACATTTCAGACATCATATTACTCTTTCAGGGTGACCTAGAGGTCATATGAGGTCAACTAAGGTCAGATTTACAACCCACGCAGTGACAATTTTTTAAGCGCTAACCCCGTCCATGTGACCAGTACTATACTTTTTGTGGTCAGAAATAGTGTATTTGACATCTATAAGTACTGAAGATCGCATAGCTGTTGTGCACATTATGCGTAGTCACTTCGACGCTTGGCAATGTATTTGTAACAAACTGAAAGCAGGTATGTTGGTACATGAAATCAGACGTCCTCGGCTTCACCAACACGGCAAGGGGTTGGTTACACGCGGCGCATTCGTTCATCTGGTCTCTCCGTTATTGGCAACATAGGCAACTGACCTTGGATGACCTACTGTGACTTCATTATGCATTGCAATCATATCTAAAAATGTTTTCAGGGGTTTATTCGAATTCTGCGCCCAAAATTACCAGGGAAAACCGCCTATGTTGAGCTCAGCACGCGCTTTACGGAAGGTAGCTATAGAAAGAAGTTGCGTCCTCTGTGGTCATATGATGGTTGTGCATGTAAGTTACTACTCTCTTCCTCCTGCACAACACCAGAATAACACAAAAAATCGTACAAGCTTGCATTACAGCGAATATGAACGAATAGCGAAAAATGGCCTGACTTCAGGTCAATGACCTCACATTTTCCGAAAAATCTGAAATATGCAAATTGTGGGCACTGTCATGTTCTATTACTACACCAAGTTTAAACAATGGTAAATTATAAAAAGTTATGTGTGGGAATAATTTTAGCGATTGACCTCTTTGACCTGACCTAGGTAAGTGATTTTGCTAGATTAAAACTTGAAATACGCATAAAAGATGCTGCATCGATAGATGATCAGGTGATAAAATTTTGTGTCGCTACGAGGGTTGTTTTTGACCTGTGGTCGAAAAAAGGTAGGAAGAAGTGAACTTTTCCCCGGCTGGGCGCGGGTTAAGTATAACGAAAGCAAACTGGTTTTGCCAGTCGATGCTTTCCATGTAGCGTTATGCATAAGCGTACTTCTAATTTTACGAAATGCTGGAGATGCAACTGCGTTCCAAATTACCGATGAAGTTTTGTGCACCAGCCAGACATGAACACTCATGTCTTGTACAGGAGGTTCGTCTTCACGACACATTTGTGTCATTCAATGTACACTCGCATGAATTGTTTGGCTTATGCTATCTTGGTTATGTCTCCTGTGTTTTCCAAATTACTTGAACTATATGACGGCATAGTATGTCCGGAATCGGCTGTGGTTTTGCGAGCTAATACCGCATCGCAGCTTAACAAAAGCCAGCTCCACTTGGGTCATCAGACAGCAGTTTCCTGTGGTATTTGCGGCATGCCAGGTGGCGAGAGAAGCTCTCATCTACACATACACGCGAGCTTTCCTATGCACCAGACCCCAGCTTGCTCACCACTGGTCAGTAACGCTGAGGAAGAGCATAGATCGACGTCCATAAGCGTCAACGTTCTCAGCATCAAGCAAAACGCACAGCACTTTAGGTAAAGCATCTTCCTTGAGAGTCATGATTGTCACCACTATTCGTGGTCGGTAAAGACCAAGACTAAGCGACGCGTGACAACATTTGGCTGTTTAGGCGCTTTGACCGCATGACAATAAACTAAAAGCATATTTATCAGTATCAGAGGCCTTTAAAGCGTCATTACGACAATGTTTAAAAACAAAGGTGTGATGGGTGCTAGGGGTGTGGGGTCGTATTCATTTGAAGTTTCTTGGGCCTCCTCCTCCGCAACACCCACACACTACCTGCAGCTCAGTTCTTCGGACAAGACAGCAAGCCGCTCCAGCCCTCGATACGATAAAGATTCCAGTCAGCAGCAGCCAGCAACCAGCATCAGAAGAAAATAATTTAGGTGCTCAAAATGCAGTATTCAGTCCCATTGGCACGGATATTTTTTGTATCTATCTTTACGATCGTTTTTATAGCGCACATATTGACGGGCATGTTCTGTCAGCATCGTAAACAGGACTTTAAAAAAGCATGGTGACTACATGCTGGTCTTCGGTGTTGAGTCTTGCCATGCAATATCATGCGTATGCCGTAAACCAAATCTACAAGCCGAAGGATTGTTGACACGCTCGCCACCTGTTCGCATAGTTCCTTCAGTGTACGAATCCCTGCTACTGGCTTGTTGATCCAACAAGCTGAGCATAAAGCTAAGCATAGCTAGCAACGATTATGAGCATTGACTGACATTGACAGCATTTCACTGGAGCTTGCTGCTGGGTTCCCACGGCCGATGGACATACTTGTGCGTGCAGAGCCGGTACAAGAGACTCCCGGTACTGGTCGCTCCCAAGTGGGTTCTTCTGGAAGCTTGTACAGAAGCACTGAGATCCGTATTGTTCCTGTAAGTTTCGTACATTGCCAAAAATCCTGTTTTTGGCTTCCGCACAAATGCCATCTGCGCTCGTTTTTGGCAAGGTAATATGGTCTGTGCTTTCAAAGTCAGTACGAATTTACCTAGAATGGTACACCCAGAGGACAAAGCGCCCCAGAAGGTCAATCCGTCCCTCGACGGGCATCTTAGGGAAATACGAGCCTTACACACTAAGCCATGGTCAGAGACCCCTAGTCTTGGCCCGGCCAACGACGGTCTAACCATCAATGTCGTTCTCCCATCATTCGTCCCAGGCTAATAACGGAGCTTCCTCAGAGTTCGAACTGCCTTCGCGGCAAACTTGCCGTCTCCCTCATCCCCTCTATCTCCAAACCATATATATATATATATATATATATATATATATATATATATATATACAGGGTTGTGGCAAAGTGCTGCATCCAGTTTGTTGGGTGTCTGCTTAAAGACGGAGGAATAAGGTCGCCCATGTCCTGACACATTTAACATCTCCAAAGATATCACCAACATCACTTCACTTATACAAGACATTTGATACGAGATCACTCCCGTGCAGATTGATGACATCCGCCACGTGCAGGTTTCACCCGCCACTTCGTCCGAGACCGGCTGTTTCAAGACTGTCGGCGCTTCTTTCACGAACGGGTGTTCTGCAAACACGTTTCCCGGTTGCTCGGTCGGTGACTCTGACAGTTCCCCATCTGCGGAAAAGCACCCTTAGCATAATAGTCCTTGCATAAGAATCATGCGCACGATATATGTCATTGGTGTAAGCACGTCTCTGGGTGTAGTCACTTTCCAGATATTGGTGAAACCATTTGACCTGAAATGATGTTTGTAGGAGGGAAAAATGTGGGCGACATGCGCTTTATGCTCAAAATCAAGGAAAATGTATATTTGCCAAGTTAAGCAATTTATTTTTGTTTCACGAACTATCAACTTTGTGAAATAATTACGTTGAGAACTTGCATCCCGACCCATATCTTTTTCATTCCGGCTTATTGTGGAGGGAACGACTGCGGCTGCGACGGTGTGCTTCGGTGAGGTGATCCTGACGCTAACAGTGCCGGTGTATGAGTCCTTCCAAAAGGTAGCGGCGCACACCTGAAGAAGCTGATCTGATTTGTTCTGAAACATGTCCTCCACATCACAGAGGCGGCCCGACCGACACTTCCGTCTTGCTGCGCACTGCAATATGTGAAAGCGGTTGGTTGGAAACAACCTGAGGGTCTTGAATCCGAAGGCAGTCGCAGGTTGTTGTATTGTGATGATGACAGAGTGTGATTGCGTACGACCGCGGTCTTGATCTGTCAGCGTCCATGCGGTGCCTGCGGTCCCTCGCGCTGCATCATGGGGAACGTGGTTCCCTGACAGCGTCATTGACTTCTCGCGATAAAATCGTTCTGAACCCGAGTACGCTGGAGATGTCAGAACACAGAGAGTCGTGTCTGGTGGCCACATCGCCTGCTGGCTCGCAGTTATCATTTGATGCTGTGTGACTGAAGTGCCACTGTGCCACTGAAGAGCCGCTGTGTCGTTTAACGTGTCTGACGCTGCAGCTACTTTACCGTGTTCTGGTCAAGCTGTTAACCTGACTGTTACATGCAGTCCTGTCTGCCTGATTTCTTCGCTGATTTGGCATACGAAAGCTTCCGCTTAGGTGCCCTTTTCGCGTGATAAAAAGCAATATTATCTGATGTTTGCTCGTTCCTATAAAATTTAAAGCTGACGCATGAGCGAGCCTAGTGGAGAGACAGTGGAATGGCGCGGTGCAGGTAACAGATTCGCACGCTCTTGTTGACAGAGTGGTACGTGGATGGTGCTGGGGAGGTTTGCCCCCTGGTTGGTGAAACTAAGGAGGAGATGCAGAGCTAGTTTGTGAAACTAAGGAGGGGTCGTGCGAGCCTGGTATAAGTGTTGTAAACGCAGCAGGGAGGCTGTAGGAGAGACCAGTCCCGTGTAGTACCTGAGTGGTAAGTGTGTCGTTAACACCCGGTAATTTGGTTGGATAACTCGGCCACTACCCTGCCACTAACAAAAGTGGTAACATTCTCTGTCAGTGAAAGCTATATAAAAAAGAATGGAGCCTTTGGCACCAGAGTAACCTGGAGTTTACCCAAACATAACTCCGTTCGCCGTACATGGTAGGATGCAAATATGTCATTTACCGCACGAAGCAATTGTGTCCAGTGCAGTTTAGAGAGGTGGCTGGTGAACTAGGTAAATCGGCAACATTAGCATATATAACATAAACATACAGTAACCATAGCGACGGACAATCATATTAGATCAACATCGTAAAAAACCACATAGCATAGCGTAGAGTGCATAGCATAGAGCTACCTGAACTTTGTCCCAGCACATTTCCGTTCACCGAAGGTACGTGGCAAATAAGATGCTGCCATTTGGTTATCGCCTGAAGCAAATTTGTTCGGTATGCAAGTTTAAGCTCAACGCACAGAGAGGCGCAGCTCAACCACCACACTATTTACCCGCGTTGAGCCACGAAATGCATGTTATTCATGTTAGGATGCCGACATCCCCCCATCAACTTCACTTCACGGGTGACCGCCTGGCGAACACCGACGAACTGTTGCCTGATAACTTGAGTAGAGTCCGCTTTTACCAGGCTGAAATGCGATATTAGCTTGCAAATATATGCACAGCTGCTGTCTCCTCGATGACCTGGCTCGTCATCCCACACGTGGGGCGATTCGGAAAACACAGCCGACGTCGTAACGACCATAATGAAAGGCAAAGCTATTGGCGAGTCTGACATGCATGACACCTGCCCCCCCCCCCCCCCCCCCCCCCCCCCTCTGATCTTGGCATGACCTTCCCGCCACAATCCACGACAATTGAGAAGATGCATGGCTGCCCACACCTGGCTTGGACGCCGTTATGGATGCCTTTTACCCGGAACGTGAACAACGCACCAGCTGAGCCGCCAACCTTCACCGTAATAACTCTGGCTGCCGCACGTGGGAGCTGTCAACGGGGACAGTACACAGGGCGCGTCGCCTGACGCCTGTGCTCGGTTGGAGGGGCAGATAAGCTGACTGAATCGCTGCAAGGATCGCCGACCAGTCCTGAACACCCTCGTCCTGACGTGATATTTGGTCCTGGGCGTCTCACTCGCCCTACCCTCTCAGCGGGGAAAGCCAGTACCAGTAGACGTGTCCCCCGACGGAGCGCACCTACACCTGACTGCAGCCCCCTTACCGCTCAAATCGTTACCTCAGAGCTGGAGAGCACCTCTGCTTCCAGCCGTCGAGTTGCAGGCCTCGGCTGCCACGTCAAGAAACGGTAAGGACGGCGTCCCTGCTACCAAGTAAAGAGCTGGAGGAAGCACCACTGCTTCCTGCCGTCGAGCAGCAGGCCTCGTCTGCCACGTCAGGAAACGGTGAGGACGGCGTCCCTGCTACCAAGTAAAGAGCTGGAGGGAGCACCACTGCTTCCTGCCGTCGAGCAGCAGGCCTCGTCTGCCACGTCAGGAAACGGTGAGGACGGCGTCCTTACTACCAAGTTAAGAGCTGGAGGGGGCACCTCTGCTTCCAGCCGTCGAGCTGCAGGCCTCGGCTGTCACGTCAGGAAACGGTGAGGACAGCGTCCCTGCTACCAAGTAAAGAGCTGGAGGAAGCACCTCTGCCACTGGAGCCGGCCTCTGACGGTGCAGCAACTCCCCTACCCTTGCGGCGGACGCTGAGCGAGATGTCCGACCGTGCCACCTTACGACTCCGTGCTGACCCGCGAGCCGCTAGTTCTTTTGGCTCCACCACTAGCAGTTCTTATGGCCCCTGCTGAGGCCAGGTCGACCGGCGCAGCAGGGTCGTAGACGGCACTGAGACCGACGTCAACGAGTACCCGTGGCAGGCCGGCCTGGTGCGCCCCGGTGGCACGCGCACCTTCTGCGGCGACAGCGTCATCAACAACCGGTACGTGCTGACGGCGGCGCACTGCACGGCCGGAGCATCTGCCTCCCAGATCCAGGTGCTGCTCGGCGACCACCGGATCAGTGTGCCGGACGGCGAGATCCGCTACTCGGTCGTCCAAATCCTGCAACACCCGCAGGACGTTACTGGGGCATCTAGATCTGGGGCAGCCTTGCGCGTGAAAGCATGATCTGCGCCGGTGGGCTCCCCTCCGGCGGCAAGGGCGTCTGCAACGGCGACAGCGGCGGCCCGCTGGTGATGTCCGTCTCCGACCGCTACACGCTCATCGGGCTCACATCGCTGGGCAACCCTTGCGCTAACCCCAACATTCCGGACGTGTTTGCACGCGTCACATCGGCGCTGACATGGATCGAGGAGAGCATGACCGACGCCGTGCTCTGCATCTAAACCCTGCACCGGACCGAGACAGGCTCACATAGAGACCAATGGCACACCACTCACGATCCGTATTTCAACGTGGGTCAAGGTGAATGGTGTTCGGGGAGGGGAGAGGACATCACGGCAAGGAAGGCAAGAGCTGAACGCTACAAAACAAATTGGCTTAAAGGTATAGCAGCACGTAATGACATTACCGCCACGTTCATAAACACTATGCCGACATCCCCCCTGCTTGTATCGTAGGGACCGAAAAGGTACGTTTATGCTGACAGTACTTTTGCAGTCCCCACATGCTTATTATTTTCTCCTTTTTCTGCCCCAAATGTGCCCATTTAATGGACTGTGTGTCACAGGATAAGACATATGGGACAACATGGTTGTGGAGTAGCGTCGTTCTAGTTAATTGTGTTCTGCATGATAAGCCCAAAGTTTTCATGCTGAGTTATGAACCTTCAATATACCAGGAGGCACTGGTATAAGGATGATATAGTGCTGGTTTTACGATTACGTTGGTGGCAACTATTATTTTGAGCTGCGTTATCCTCAAGAGTAAAAAAGTCGTTGTTAACACTTTGGCATCGTTTAACCAGAACATTTTTGTATCTTGAAGATCGTTGGCTTAACACAAGAACTTTGAGCCCACAATTCCAAAAAAAACATGCGCTGAAGGCCTTTATCCTTGCATATGATGTTACTGATGTTTTGCAGGGGATATATGTTTATGTCTATTATATACGGTATGTTGTATACAGAAAGCGTATGCCTATTTTCTCAGAAGGCTTTCAAACATTGAACGTTTTTGCAATGCGTACGAAATGAAGCCGGCTGCCGGCTCTCAACGCAGATTTAAGCCAGAAATACCGAACTGCCATCCATTTTCACGCGTCAAAAACGGGGTATTGAAGGGAAAGCAGCTTTGGTAACTTTCATAATTAAAATCACCCAAAATAAAAGTGAGCAGAACATGCTTGCTTGAGAAAGCGCCTTTTTAGCCACTCACAAATTCGGCAAGCCAGTTAAATCAATATCTTTTTTTTTGTTTGGCCACCGCGCTTTGCACTGAAAATGATAAAGTGAAATTATTACAGTCGCAATCGCACGCTCGTTTCCACACAAAAGCATATTGCGACTAAAACATTTCGAAGCCATTGCAGGCAAACAACAAATTGTACCCGTGAAAGGAGGCAATAACAAAAAAGAACTACGATACTACACAAGATTGAAGATTGCTTGAAGAATGCACTTGTCGTGCTAGCGTTATTGGACAGGTGCTTAGTTTGTAAGTTGCTCAGTGCATTTGCAAGAGACATTATTCACGTAGATAAAACAGTATCAACAGCCTGGCTTCTCGAAAAACAAACCAGGAGAATGGAGGCGTAGATGTACTGACATTTCGGCAACATACCTTTAGCAAAACAGTATCATAATATATGGAATAGCATATGTAAGAAATGATACAATCAACTACAGTGCAAGTCATTGACCAGCCTTTAAATAAAAATTATTGCACTTTCTGGTACCTTCTGGTTTCTGTTTCAGTTCAAGACGGCCTAAATACGAAGGGAAGTGGTTCCTTATTGTATATAATTCCCCCCCCCCAAATTGTTCTTTTTGGAGCAGAGGTTTTTCACTAGCAGACCTCCACGTCGGAGCCAAAAGCACAACTACCCAACCATTACGGCTGTGTATGCTCCTACCTGAGTGCTACCTAGGTAAGAACATTGAGTGCGCTCATTTTTTCCAGTCTGATGGACTCTTCCATTGACAGCGAAGGATTTTGAAAAATATGTCGAAGGCGAAGCATTCCAAATAGAAATTGGTTAAAGTTGGCTGCTAAATGCCGCCATAATCAAGCACGACGGTTGATCTAGAGCTTTGTTGCCGCTAGGCGGTTTTGCGCTGGCGGCTACTTGGCCAGGGGCCGGCAGCTATCTGACAAGCTGATTTGGTGATCGCGGTGACACGTGACTAACGCAGAGTCCCGCAACTGACTACTTCTGGGTGTGAAATAGAAAATCGAGTTGTCCCTTTAAATACCATCATTTTAATGTAGGGTTTTCGCAGGATCCTAAAAAACAAGCCAATTTCCGAAGATCGTAGTGAATTCCCCAGGGTCTCATTGCTTGAGCTTGATTGCTTGGAACCCGTTACTCGGGTAGCACCTCACTCCTCTGTGTAAAAAGGCATGTCTTGCAAATGGTGTTACAAAATCAAACCAATTGTAATACCCCCTCGATATGTGCAGATAGTTGTCTCATTCACAGTACTTTCATCGTTTTTCTCCCGATCAGTATTTTCCCGTTATCTCTAGCAATTGTACGATGTGATCGCGTAAACAATCGTGTCGTAATGGGTCGCGTTCGCGAGTTTTAATTGCACTTAACAGTCTTGCATTATCGACAAATGCACAACTAAACCTGTGTAATAAATTGAGCGTCTACGAAAGCCAATGCAGCGGGCCCCTGAACGATCGGGAGTGCCTCGGCAATACCGAAACCCGCAGCCAGAGAGCATAGAGCTCCGAGCGAATGAGGACTTAAAACCAGTGCGGATGGCCCCGGACGATCTAGAGTGCAGCGCGATCCAGTATGAAGTATCTAAGACGATGTGACGGGCCCCTGCACAATCAAAAGTGCCCGGTGGATCCATTGTGAAGGGCCCCTGGAGCGAGAGCAGGACCCTCCGCAAGTGAGATAAAGTGGGAAGAGCTCTGCACCAGTGTAGAGGGCACCCAAGCATCGAACGTCTCGGTAAAGTACCTTACCTGGCCCTCAGGAATAGCGCAGGGCCGTCCGAGCAAGTGGGAAGAACTCGAGACTATCGCGAACGTTCTCTGAGCGACTGAGAGTTCACGGGAACTAGCCAATGGGGCTCCATGCTACCGTCGTTACAGTTTTCCGGCAAATGCAAAGAATTCGTGAAAGACCACTGATTAATCGAGATCGCCCGGCTGACCATAGGTCCCCCGACAGCACCGTCGGGACCTCCGAGCAGATGCGAAGAGCCCAAGGGCAGCGTGGAAGGCCCTTTAACAATCGAGGACACCGAATAAATCGCCAACTTCTCGCATACCATTTCGGAGCCAAAGGCATTGCCCGTGGCCCCTTTGGATATAGCAGGGGGGGGGGGATGGGGGATATCTGATCAGCAGAGAGGGATTTGGTTAAGTGCGGGAGCATTCCCTCACACCGAAGAAGTTAAAAAAGGTCCTGTCATGATTCCCAGGCAGGTACTGAGCCAGAATGCTGTTAGGGAGAGGCACCGGATTGAATGGGTCCTTTTCTCGAAGGTCCCTAAACAAATTAATTCCTCGGATCTAGCCCATCTTATGTCGAAGGGACCGAATGACCTCCTTTTAATTGCATTCGCGCCTTCTTTAACTGCTGTCAAAACGAGAGGCTACCAGATGGCGCAGTTCTTCTTTCATTTGCAAGTCAATAAAATGGAGGAACCAGACATTAAGTGATTTTATGGAATAAGCCATCAGCGCTATTAATTTTACATGGTTCCGTCGGCTCTTCCTAAACCGATAATAGTGAGGGCGCTGCAATATATGGCATGGGGAGGGACTGAACAGACACTGAGCACGTCACCTGTTGACTGAACTTCCGCGTAGATCGAAACGGGGTCCAATATTTGTGTCGATCTCACCAACCCATGCTCGACAAGGAATGTTAAATGTTCACCTTTTCTCAAGAATCAACTAGTGCCAAATACATCAAGAAGTCATGTGAATGCATACTATCATTGCTTACTAAAAACAACAACATCTAGCATTGCAATCTCCACAGGCCGAGAGTCATTGAACAGCTAAGATCAGGTGGCTGGGTGACTGAAAACGGTCCAGTAACCGATGAATCAATTTTGAAATGCTTTATGCTGTATGTCTGGCGAGTTTTGTTTTCATTGGGCGTGTGATACACCTGTACTCGCTTTCTTTGGTGTCTTGACATGGCCACTGAAAGATCTACACGTCAGTGGCCTAGCCAGGAATCCGCCCAGGAGGGGCCCAACCGAGTCCTAGGGGGATCTTTCGGCTAAGGCCCCCTCTTCATCGCTGTGAGAACGTTGATTTTGGATTCAGAGGAAATTTTTAAGGTCGAGACTTTATCTTATGTCTCGAGGCCCGTTTAGAAATGTATTGAAGAATGTGAGAGCATCATAGACTGCCGAAAAAGAACTGGGCCGTCGGTCCAGGGACTCACAGCCACCTCCATAGGGTGGTCACGCCCCCCTCCACAGGCCCCGCCACTGCTGGACGTGTTCCAGCACGGAGTCAAAATATACGCTTACAGTTATGAAAATAACGGAAAATATCTCGCGCTCGCGAACCTTTAGAAGACAAAACGTCGACGCCTGCCGCCGCTGCTACCTCCACTGGCCGCGTCGTGGCGGACTCACGGCCAACGCCAGGCGGCGGCCGACATACGGACGAGAATGACCACGTTCGAGAAAGTAGGGCCTTCGAACGCTCTACCATGACATTAGTTCAGTGCGACGGTAGATTTCACCCGCACGCTTTTCGAATTGATGTTCGGAACGGTTTAGCGTGTGCAGCACCAGGGGCGACGCAGCAAGGGGGAGGGCAGGAACAGAGAAAACGGGAGTGTGTATTTGCGCCACACACATTTTGTGGGGCCATTTTGCCTAAACTTAATACTTCGCAACTCAGGCAGGTTACGTAGAGATCAGGGAGGCCCCTGTTTCTGTGCTAAGGGGCACTAAATTGAGCCGAGAAGAGTCTTTTTGCATCAGGGGACCCGTTTCTAGATCATGATCACCTTTATGAGCCACGAGCCTAAATCACCTTTATGAGCCACGTAACCCACGCTCTGGACAAGAAGCACAATTCTGGTTTAAGGAAACCATTTGCTGGCTTGGGAGACCCCCGCTGTGAACTAGGAGGCCCTGCTCTGAATAAGGAAGCACTCGCTGTGTAACATGAGGCCCATTTTCTGGCACAGGGGACCCTTGTATGCATCGGGTGACCGCAGTTCGGAATCAGGATCCACTATTTTGGGATAAGGAAGTCCTTTGCTGATTTTGGAGGCCCATTTGCGAATCGGAAGGATCCTGCTCTGGATCAGATGGCCCTTCTATGCATCAGAAGGCCCCGCCGTTCTGGAACAAGGGTACCCTTTGCTATAGAGAGAGAGAAGACCACACCTGTTAAACAGGAAACCCATATTCTGGATTTTAGTCGTTGACAGTTTTAGGAACATATTTTAATATATGTAACAATTTGCAAAGAAAGCACATGACGTCGGTGACCCCCCTTCTCAAACGTAACACTGCCCAGGGGGACCCATGTGGGAAAGCTTTATTTTGTCCAGGAGGCTTGCTGTAAAATCTCACCCGCAACTCAAATCCCGTGACGACGCCCAGCTGTGCGACACCACAAAACCCTTGAGGAAATTGTGGAACATTTGCTGCTCGTGTTGTTGGAAATACTTTGCACAGGTGAAATTTATGTCTCAGTCAGCCTAATATGAATTTATTTTTGGAGGGCTTTCGGAATAATTTTTTCTGGACACATGGTCTCTCATTAACAGTCTGCCGGCCGCCTGATGTAAGCTGCGGCAGCCAACGCTGCTCGAGTGTGACTGAAACGACGGACATTGTTTGCCTCTAGAGGTTTCGAGCGCACGTGGTCGCAGCTATGCTACACCATTTCCTCACCAGTTTATTTTTGCAAAAGAATAAACTTTTTCAGTCAAACATGTGCTGGCGATGTCGATGCAACTGCCGGCTTCCATTCTGGCGGCACGGGACCGGAGTCCCCTGTGTGATCCGGACACCCTCATAGCGACACATCATACATCAGTTCCGTTGCTGACGGGGGAGGTGCTCTGACCGGGGCAAATAGCCGCAGATCAATGCAAGGGCCTCCGCAGACGCCAAATGATCTCTTACCAGCGCAGAGGATCCAAACTCCAGTTCGACTCATCGGGCCCCTGACTCACACGGGCGAAGAGCCCCGTTTGGTCTTGGGGCTCCTGACTTATACAGGCCCTTTCACTGTCTCATTGTTAATTTGAACATTTTCATCGTGATTTTTCATAGATCCTCCCACTGTAAGAGAACCCTGACCAAAGCAACAGGTCCGCTGAATTTGAGGTCCCGTACATGTCTCCGTTCGGCGAATGTGCTCCTGGCTGACTCGGAGCCCTCAACAGACACATAATTCCCTGTAAGGCAGTGCGAGCTCCTGAACAACACAGGGTCCCCTCGTTGTTTCAAGTGTCTTACCAATATTAAAGGCCTCCAGTGACAATTGTGGGCCACTGCCTTGTCGTCGTTTGGGGAATGAGCCACACACCAAGAACATGACCCAGACCCTGCCCCAGACCGGTCTTGGCTCCAGGGGGGTACAGACCAACGCAGGGCGCACGTTACGGTTCGGTTCAGATCGGCTCAGTTTTGGTGGTCTCTAATCGGCAAAAAAGCCCTCATCGACCCAAGGGGCCCGATCGGCGCAAGAGGCCCTCTGACTGACATTTGGGGGCTCCGTACTGCGGGTACAAGTCCTTAACTACGGCCTCCAACCGGCTCTCCAGACCCTATATTCTGGCCCCCTACCGTGCTAATAGGTCCCTTGGGCCCTTCGTGTCCTGGGGAGAGGGCAAGAGCCTTTTTCCCCCTGCCCGCGCCCCTGTCCTCAGGGCAATTATATTGGGACCATGATAATGGCCTAACAGCGTTTTGTTGTGTGATATAATACACATATTGAATGTATTTATGCGTTACACATGATTAATGTCTGACATCTAATGTCGATAATTGTCGGCAAACAATGCCACTGTTTATCCAACATATATGAAATAAGTCCTATACATTCAAGACCATGCAAATGGCTCAGTATTTAGACAAGCAATGTTGTCCATCACTAAAACCGTAGGTTGCGAGGCTGCGACAGTTCATGCGCGGGTGGCGTAGCCAGCCGGTTTGTGTGTTGTGTGTGTGAGCGCGTCGACGCGTGTCCTTATGGAGCGCACTTGCTCCTCGACTGAACTTTCATTGGGTGTGACGGGTAGTCGGGGCTTTCGTGTTTGAGATAATATTGACTTTTTTCTATCCAGCTGCAAACCTGGAACAGAAAGGTGAGATTTTGCGAGCGGGTAAGCGTGTTCTGCTGTTCGACATGCTGTGTAAATGTTTTGAAGCGTTGGTGGTTACGTTGACCAGACTACAAGGAATGTATGTTTTCCTGAACTTGTCCACTTGAGCAGAAACATCAAGACAGCAATTCAAGTGTGTGTGCACAGGAAATGTGGGCATTTAAAGTTCGGTGCAGACCACCACCAGTTATAGTGCAGGGTCAATGTGTCAAGGAATTATGATGTTTCAATGATAATTTCAGGAAAAAGCTCCTAGGAAATTTTTCATGCAAAGGTAATGTAAAAATGCTGCCTAATTTGGCATGGTCTGAGAACAGCTACCTGCAGGTGAAGTTCAGTGTGCAAATGTTGCAGAGGTGCCTAGCACAGTAGGTTTCTTTGCAGACTGGTATGTTGGCTAGTCCATAAAAATCATGTCATTGCAGACATCTCTGGTATAGTGGTGAGGCTGTACAATAAATGACAGTGCATGTATTCAGTAAGTACTTGTGCCCTTAGTATGATGCATGGGTGCCAGCCAGACTGCAAAAATACATGTGATTGCAAACAGGTCTATCTTAGCAATGATATGGGGCAGAGGTTTGCCACATGTGCACATGAAATCAGAGCACTGATTTCAAAATATGACAATATTTCCAAATTATTCAACACCTGGCTGCACACATGCAATAGATTCAGTTTATTGATGTCACTGTGGCACCTGGGGCAGTATATGTTTTTTAAGCTGTACTGGTAGCACCAGGTCATTCTTGTTACTACAGCTAGCTGGCATAAGTAAGGCTTGGTGTCTTTTTCAAAGGGCCTTGGCAATCGTCTGGTATTTGCCTACCACACTGATCAAATGACCAACTAAAAGATTATCCCAGTCATCAAGAGACAATAGAAACCCATTGTTTTATGAAAAATCAGCAATGCTCAGCACGCACTTATCATGAGGTGTCATGAGGTGAGTGCTGGCCTAGGTTATAGGTATGGTATTTATGTTTTTTCAGAAGCTTGGCTGATTAACCATTAAGACTGCTATGAAATGCTTGTGTTCTTTTGATATGAGTACTAATGGTGCCTGGCCAATGCACCAAGCATCAAAACTGCACTTGCTCTATTTGGCATGCACTTGAGGTGGTGATTTGGTTGTTGGTTGTGTAAATAACTTAAGTCATTTTGGACTTATCCAGAAGAATGTGATAAAAAAGAACCTTGCATTGTTACCTGGGCCAAGGCAGATGGTTGGATCCATTCTCCAAAATATATTGTTGAAATGCATGCATCCTGAGATGCACAAAATCCTGATCACAGAGAAATGCTCAGAGATGGATGATGCAAAGATGACTTAGTCTTGTTAATCTGTAGCATGGATGATACATAACCAAGGACATGAGGTGCAATAAGTGCAACCCATTTATCATCCACTGTCATTTAACATGTTCAGGGTACTTGGTTAGGATTAGTATAAGACACTAGGTCTATGATTGAAAAGTCTTTGTCAAATTCATGCAATGGAAACTACCTGGCCTTGGTCTCAACAAATGTGAAATAGTAATGACTGTAGTGATTTGACTTCCATGTGTCTTTGTGTAGCTCAACAACTGACTGCTTAAGCTGCAGTAACTGCCACATAGATGTGTTGTGTGGCTGTTGGATAGGCAACCACTGCTGTCAATCCATGTTTCTGGTGGAACTTGGACAGAAACCACCAGAAATATACCACCCAATGGCCTAGCCTCAATCTGCTTCACAGTATTTCAAGTGGGCTGATTCTGCACTTGATGAAATCGTAAGATTTAGTTACCTTCCTGAACAGTTGTTAACTTCCAGATGTGCCACATTGCCTGGGTATGGCAGAGAATGTGTGCGACCTTTTGGCAGATATATCCAATTATACTTGATGTGCACAAGGCATTCTAAAGATAATTTTGGTGTGCAGTATGATTTTAATTACTTTGTGTGATAAGGGAGGACTGCATGCTGCACAGTAACTGGCTTTCCTGATGTAACCTGCTCTATGTGGCATGGTAAACATGTTGACAAAAGTGTTTGCATTTGTCAGCAAAAGTGTTAAATATGAATTAATTCTGTTGGGCTACATCCCAGCAAATAATATCCCTTCATGCTACCAACAGCCATGGCTATGATGGTCACTGCATGACATGATGCTCCATATCTTTATGATATGAACAGCTATGCCACCCAATGTTATGGATGACCACATAATATCCTAGAATTCTGGTTTTCAACCATGCGCCCACTTGCAAAGTCATATTCTCAACTTTCCATGTCATCACCTGATAATGAACTTCCGGTGTCCCCATTAAAGTAAAGTGATACCCCTTCAGACACTCAAGTTTTTTCATGGTTTCTTATAGCTGGTACATTTTTGAAGTGAGTGTGCCAGAAGCTGCTAGATTTTTTGGCTGCAGCGCAGGCTGCTGTCATACCAGTCTGAAGTTCGTCCGTTCACGATGCTGCCAGGAGTCCTGTTGCACCATGCAAACATTTAGATTGTGGGTTGGTTTTCGAGCATCAGGGTTGGAAGGGAATCTAGACTGTAGTTGTTTGGCTGTTGTTTATTGCTGAGACAATGCGTTGCGAGTGGGAGGGGGGGGGGGGGGGGGGGGGGGAGGAGATCTGCGGTGACGCGGGGTAGTCGCGGACCTATGGGCCAAACACGTTTTAAGATGAACGACTGTCGGAATTGTTCGGTGGAAGCATGCTGGTGTTTCTTCTTTTCTGCGTTGTCTTACGTGACAAGTGGCCAAATTGCAGGATGTTTAGACAAACGAACGGAGCTGCGTTCTTCGGTTTATTGTCTTGGCTGTGCTCTCATATGATACCATAAAGCCGAGTGCCGCTGTGACCAGGGGGCCGGGGCGTCGGCTCTGTGATGCCACCGGCGCGGAGTGTGTTTCACGCCCCCCGGAGCGCCAGCCCGCGCCGGCCGGCACTGGCCCCGGTGTCAAGACCGGAAGGAGCGCACCCGATAGCTGGCGCCCGCTTCCGGCGCGACTGCGGCGACGGCTGCTCTTCCGCTCCGGTCCAGCCCGGCTCAGGCGGTCAAGGGCCGTAGATGCCCAGCGGAGGAGGCTGTACCACAGGCGCCGGCCAGGGAGATTCAATCGCTGCAGCATTGTATGGCGGGGTTTCCTGTTGCCGGTCGGTGGAGCGCTTGCCACTCTTGGGGCTCGCTCGGCTGGGATGGTATTACGGGACTCGTAGTCAGTTGTGGGGTTCTGAGTTGTTTTATTTGGATGACTCAGGCAAGAAGCTGCACTGAGTTGGCGCGAAACAATAGCAGGCGTAAAACAACCTCCAAGTGGCGTCCTTGAAATGCAGTAGACAAAATCACGGTGGACAACAACTGAATTGTGAACATTGCAGCTGGGAGCTACACGGTATTTTGTTTCCTAGGCAGTGAAACAAGCAGCCGAGCATAAAACATTCAAAGTCGTGACATTTAATTTGGTATGTACTGAACGTTATCGTTTGTCTGTGTGGCTGACCAATATCTGTCCGTGCTGCCGTCGAATCCAGCGCCCTGCCAATCGTTTCGAGAGCAGGTGCTTCCAGCTGTTTGATGACTTGTGTGCATTGTGTGAAGGCCCGTCCGCTTACGCCAGTACTTGTTCCCGACGTGACTACCCGCCCCGTTTGTGAATTCACCCCCTCCCCCGTGCGAAAGGTCCGTGTTGCCACACGTGGACGCCCGCCCTGGTGCTCCCCGCGTTCGCACTCTTGTCCCACACGGAGTCTGGCTCCCCGTCCTCAGTCCGGCCGCCGTTTTGGGCGCGGGCTCGGCGCGGCGTCCCTCGTGTCCCCGTCCGTCGTCGCGGCCGGTCCGCCGTCGGTGTCGTCGGCGGACGGCGCGGCCCCGTGGCGGCCAGGAATAGCCGAGTGACCGCGCGCCGCCCTGTCGCCGCCGCAGCCTCCGCTGACCCCAGTACGGCGCCGGCGGCCGCCCGGTGACGCGTCGCCGCCGCCGCGCCGCGCCGCGCCGCGCGCGCGCGCCGCCGCCGCCGCCATGGCCGACGAGCAGCGCTACATCGTGGACGTGTTCGTGGGTGCGCTCAGTCCGCACTACGAGGCCCTCAGCATCCAGGCCAGCAAGGCGACGTCGGCGGCCGAGATCGTGCTGTGCATCGCCGACAAGCTGCAGCTGGCCGAGCCGGCCGCCTTCGAGCTGGCCGAGGTGGTGGGCGACGAGCAGGGCCGCGAGTGCAAGGAGCGACGGCTGGCGCCCGACGAGCGGCCCGTGGCCGTGCAGCTGCTGTGGCCGCGAGCCGCCGCCGCCGCCGCCACCGACGGCGCCGGACACCAGCAGGAGTACAGGTCAGTCAGGTCAGGCGGGTTCGGTCTGGGAAGTGGTGTGCTTGACGTGTGCTGTGTGTTCCGCGGGCCCCCAGCAGAGCCAGCGTGTTGTGGGCGGGATATTGACAGCACGTTGGTCATTGGTCAGTCGACTGACCGCGCTGCCGAACGGTCTGTCGGCATTGGTTGTCAGCATGTGTATGCATACGCGCGCTTGTATGTGACTGGGCCATGGATGACAGCTCCGACCTCTGAAGGCTGTCTGGCAGCCTCGTGCTCAGGCATGTTATGCCCGCGCTTAGTTTAAAATGGCGCTTAACATACAACGATCGCTTTTCATGGAGCAGCTGCCATTGTCGGCCGCGAATGCGACCAGCTAAGAATTTTCACCTTCGTGATTCAGAGCGCCTCGCACCATGCCACGTAACGCTTCTCGCAAGTCGTAGCGGTGCAGGTGTTGCCGGAGATTGTTACGCAGGCTGCCCGGCCAGCAGCAGGGAAATCATGCGTGCGATGTGTGAGCGGATCCGCGGCGTGTCCTTTCGCGAGTTTCCTGTGGGCTTCGTTGCGTGACCGTGCACGGTCTCCGAGAAAGCCGGCTTAGGGCGATCATCAGACGGAATGCTTGGTGCACCCCGCGGGTCTTGGAGTTGCAAAGAATGGTCTGCGGCACAAAGGAATGGAGCTTTACCCGGGTGCACTTTGTGCACCAGAGTCATACTTTGGCGAAAAAACCTTTGCGGCACACACACACGGTCATGCTGCGCGTGTCTTCAGCCTGAGCTGGCGCCCACCCTTCGCGCAGTATGACGTCGGCGTCGTTGAAGTGACGCCCTTCCCCCACGTAACGAAGCCCCCAAAATAGCATTGAGCATGTAACACCGGTCCCACGTGGGGAACGCCGGATGACGAAGGGGGCGGGGGAGGGATCAGGCGGCGGGTCGACCCGTCGCGGCGGCGCGTTGTCTCAGCGCCGTCACCTCACTTCCTGTCGTTTGTTTCGGGCCCGGCGGGGGTAATAACTGGGGTCGGACGGCGCGTGTCCTGAGCCGCCCGGTTCGCGAGTGGGAGGCCGGGCCCCGCCTCCGCCATGCGGGACCTGACCCCGCGAACCCCTGCAGGAGTGCCGCACGTAGTGCCGAGTGGCGCCCCCTCAGCTTGCCACGCCGACGGGACTGGCGACCGAGAGAGAAACACCCGGCGCCGCTGTTCCCGGCACGGGCGTTCTGCGGGTTACTCATTGGCTGCACCCTAAAGGGCGAGGCGGCGGGCGGCGTCCCCGGCGACGCGTCCGTGAACGCTGTGGTACGCCGGGTACACCGCTTCCGCAATACGCCGGGCTCGCACGCCGATGGCCGGCTGTCTCGTCGCTGTGTCTCCGGGCCGGCCTGCTGGGCGGGACGCTGCGCCGGGTCGCGGAGGGGCCGGCGGTGCCCGCGCGCCGGACGCGGCCCGACGGCCGAGGCCGGGCGAGGCGCGCAGCGTCGCGAGGGCCGTCAGAGTCAGCGGCCATGCGTGTCAAGGTGCTGGCTCCACGTCTGGGGAGACACGTCGACAGGGCCGCGGATCGTACGTCGGTGAGCCGCGGCACTCGAAGCTGGCTGTTGCGTGTGCTCGCGCCGACGCCGCGCACGGGTCCGCCGCGCGCGGGGTCGCCGGCTGCGGCGCTGAGGCGGCAGTTGCCACGCTCCCACGTCCCCGCCCGACGGTCAGGCGGTGAGTGTCGCTCGCTGTCTCGCTATCGCGCCATCAACAAACCAGCCTGATTATGTCATCGCCTCCGAGCCGGAGGCATGAGCTATCATTAGCGGCGGCGGCGGCCCGCAGCCGGATTGCACAAACAGCGTACGAATTCGTCACCGTTCCGGGAAGGGGCCCGGTCGGCTGGGCGCCGGGAGGTCACCCGAGCGTCGCCGCGGCGACAGGGTGGCAGGTTACGGGGTCTGTAACATCGGGAGCGGAGCCACGGCACCGGCCGCTGGAGCACGACGTGCAGTTGGCGACGGCGCGCCTGGCGGACCGCGGGTCGTGCCGACGTGGGTGAGGCTTAAGTGAGTTAATTGTAGTGAATGCATGCGCGGTAGTAAGGCCACATTGCTGCTAGTTAGCACCCCAAGTGTGGTCAAAGTAAGTCGAAATCTGAGCCATGGAGCCGACGGGCGATGAAGAATGGGTGTCGGAGGACGGAGTAGGCGGGGGACAGTGCACGGGCCCTGACACTGGCAGCCCACGGCTGGCTTGCGGCCGTGGACTGCGAAGGCCGGGTCCAGCTGCCAGTGCCGGCGGAAGTGGAGCGTTTTGTCCCCGATAAGGATAAACAGCAACCGCAGTGGACTGCGCCTCGTGGAGGCGCGGCATTGTCACGTTATCGGGACCAGCCCGCGCCCGCCGGCCCGAGCGCGCACCAGCGCCGCGCGCAGCAGCACACCCGCACACCGGTCCGGCCGGATGTCGCGTCAGTGAACTGGAAGAGTGTGTCGGGATGCGCGGTCGCCTCGCTGGCGCGACGCCAGCGCGGCGCCCCGGCGCGGGGTCGCGTGCAGGTGCTTGAGTTGGGGTACGAGGCGTCCTACGCACAGTGTGCCACACCTCAGCGGGGACACGGGTGGATGTTGCGCCAGAATGAGTTCCGAGCGTCCGTTGCGTCCATATCCGACGCGTCGCACGGAGGTAGGGGCAGGTAGGGAGGTGTGGTAGGGGCATGCCGCCACGTGAAGCGCCGCTGCCGCCGGGGTCGGCTCAGAACCGCGTCGTCACGGCCGACACGGCCGACAGAGCCAGAGGACGACGGCGGCCCCCGCAGGCCGAAGGCCCTCGCTCCGCTCCCGGCGGGCTTGTCCGCCCTGCAAACGGCTCGCTCTCGGCAGCGGCCGGCCTCTGGCAGCTCAGCGGCCGTTCCGGCGCCGCGCCGCCGGCGCTAATCATGGGACCGTCGGCGGCCATGTTCACTGGGGAGCGCCGCCGGCCGGGGTTCGTCAATGCGCGCTGACGGCGGCGACGGAGCGCTGTTGTGGCGGGCGCTGGCCGCGGCGCGCTGGCCGACCGCCAGCGCCCGGAGACGGCCGGCAGCCGGCACCGGCGGCAGCTCGTGCGCTGCGGCCGGCCCCCGGCGCCGCTGCGGATGGGGCCAGGGCCCCGCCGCCGCTACCATGGTGCTGGGGACTGTGGTACCGCGGGCCGGACTGAAATCGGTGGTCTGAAATGAACTTTTTCGATAAACTTGCTGCTGCGCGGGTGCCCGTGAATTTCTCCGTTTGCGTTCGCATTGCAACGTTGCTCGCCGCCGCCGGCTTGTTTACGTTATAGTGTTAAACGTGTTGCACACGCGCGGAACATTGACCCCTGCCCCAGTTTCCACAGACAGTTGGAAGGCGATTAAAGCTGCCTCGTTTGGTCGTTATCCCGACGTCAAATTGTATTGGATTTTTATATTGTAGCTGCTGGAAATAGGTCAGGTAGCAGTTCAGCGCCATTCGGCATTTGTTGTCCAAGCCTTTATTTCTGTCGCTGTCGGTAAGAGAAATACGCCGCCGCACCGTTTCCTGCCAACTTCTCCTGGCGTGTTTTCGAGTGTCGCACACTCACAGACCGCCGGGTCGTTGTGCCACGCCGATGGCTGTGCTGTTCGTGCATCAACGCCTACCCCATCTCACCTGTCTCTGCCGCTCTCGCTCGTTGGCTCCGCGCGTTCGCAGTCGACCGGCCGTGTTGAGTCATGCGATAAGCCGGTGCGGCGTGCCGGTAGCGGCCGCATCCCCGCGCGTTCCTCACCTCGCGGCCGACCGCCGGCCGCCCACGTGCGCGCCACGCCCCGGGCCACGCCGCGCGTGCTGCCGTGCGTCAGCGGCGCCTGCCGTGCCGGCGGCGGCCCGCCGCGATCTGTCATACGCGCCCGGGCGCAGGCGCCGCCGCCCATTGTCTCAGCGCGGCAGAACAAACGGAGGCGGCGGCGCACGCTCACGAACGCCGGGCCGGGCGCCCCGGGTCGGCTCGCTGGCTGACCTTTGCCGGCGCTGGCGGGCGCGGCGGCGGCGGCGGCGGCGGCGGCGGCGGCGGCGGCGGCGGCTCCGGCGGCTCCGGCGCCGGCCGGGACGTGTAACAGTCGGCAGCGGAGGCAATGTCTTTGTCGGTCGCTCAGCCGCCGGCCAGGTGCTCAGGCGTGTTTGGCCCGCACGCGCCGCGCTGCTCGCCGAAACCAGTCGGCGGGCCGTCACCGACCCGCAGCGAGCAGCGTGACAGCGCGAGCGCGTGCTCCGGGGATGACCGCCATGTGAGACCTTGAGGCGGTGGCGCTCGCCGGCGTCGCCCGGCTGTTCCGTGAGTTCCGTGGGATGATGACCGCGCGTCGAACGGAGCGCCGGCCGGCGGGGAGGGGGCCATCTCCGGCCGAGCGCGCCGGCGAGTGAAGGGCGGCCAGACGCTGCGGCCGCCCGCGGCGCCGATGGCCTGCAGCCGACCCCCCCCCCCCCCCCCCCGGGCCCGCCTCCCGCAGGCGTGGCCACCACCGGTCAGTGTGTGGCCGGCGCCTGCCGGGTGAGGGGCGCGCGGCGGCTCCGGTCCTGCCCAGGCGTAGTCAGTCGGCGGCGGCGCCGGCCGAGCGAGCGCGGAGACGTCGGCGGTGCGGTGCCGACACCGGTCGCGTCAGTACCCGCGGCTGACGGCTGCAAGGTGCGGCGCCGGTCACCGGCTGGCTGACGTCACCTGCCGCTGGCGGGTCTTTGTACGGACCTCTTCGCCGTCGGGTGGTGACTTCCCCGCCGCGCTCGGTGTGGAGCGGAGCCGGCCGCAGGAGCTGAGCGCGGCCTGGAGCCGGCTTCTGCCGGGCGTCGCTCCGCCGGCAGCCGTCGCCGCCGGGCTGCCGTCCGTGCTGCCCGCGGGGCCGGCCGGCGGGCCGCCCACGCGGCTGCCGTACAAGGTGCGCCCGGCGGCGGCCGCCGGCGGCTGCAGTGGCGTCAGGCGGCCCGGCCGGGCAAGGGTGCGCCGGCGGCGGTGCGGCGCCGCGAGCCATGGCGCTGGCGGGCGGCTCGCCGCCCCCGGTGGTCAGCGCAACCTTCCGCGTGTGAGTACAGAGCCTGCGCAGCTGCGCTCGCGGCGACGGCCCGTGGCAGGTGGCGGGAGTGGTGGTGTCTCACGGGCCGGCGGGGCGGCGTTTTACCGCGGCGACGGAGCGTGCGGGTGGACTGTCTCGGCCCGTGGAGCGGCGCGCGAGGCCGTCCGATGACGAGCTGGCCCGTCACACCGCCGGCGTCGGCCGCCACCGCGTCCGGCCGAGCGCCGCCGCCACCGGCCGCGGCTCCGCGCCGGGCCGGCGGCGGCGCCTCGGCTGGCCGCGGGCGGAGCCGGCTCCCGCGGGCCGGAGCGCCGCGCAGGCGGCTGCCGTCAGCTGCGGCCGTGAGTCACACCGGCCGTGTGGCAGTGTCGGCGCTACCAGTTTGCACGGTGAACGGGACTGACGGGCCGCAGCTGCAGTCTGTTACCCGCACTGCGGTTTGGAATCGGAACTGGGGATTATCCGTGCCGATGACGCGAGTTGATGGCTGCCGCAGCGTGTCTCATGCAGCCGGCTGACTCGGTGATGCGGTCGGGTAGTAATATCCTGTAAGCCACGCCGCGGGCGCGTTGGGCAGACCTGAGGCTTTGTCCTGCGACCTACCGCACCTCGGTGCTTGACAAAGCCGGTCGACCGCCCTGTCGTAAAGCCCCGAGCCGTGTGTCGTGACTTATGACCGCTTTCCCTAATTGCGGTGTGTTCAAAGGGCCGTCGGCCGGCGGATGTGGGCGGTTGTGCGGCGGCGCGGCCGGCGCTCTACGCACCCGACCCGCTGACCCAGACCGGGTCGGCTTCCGTCCCCGGGGGCCGGCCCGGGTCGCTGCACGCACCGTTGGCGCTGGCGGCGGCGGCCTGCTTGAGGACGGCCGCGGCTCTGCGGTCCTGCAGACGCGCCGCGTCCGCGAAACGCAGCGATCGTGGCGGTCTGGCGCGGCGCGAGCGCTGTGCCGGGCTTGATTCATGGCGATGACGGGGGTGGCGTCCGCACGGCGCATCCGGGACGACGCGCGCCGCCGTTGGACGCGTGACGTCCCGCGGCGGCCCTGCGGCGGCGCAAGTCGCTGATGCAAGTCCAGCCACCGTCGGTGGCGTCCGCGGCCGGCCTCGCGCCGCCGCGTGGCGCGCGAGCTGGTCCGGCGCGCGGCCGCCGGACCAGTGACGTCAGCGCCGCAGCGGCCGCGCCGCCGGCCGTCTAATGAGAGCGGGCGAGCGCGCCGTCCGAGCGGCGGCAGCTGATGGGCGGCGGCAGATGCCGGCCCGCTGACTCAGGCGACGCCGTCCGCCCGGCGGACGGCGTCGCCGGGCCGGCGGCCGCCATCGGGCCGCGGACGCCACAGCGGGCCCGCTGCCGTGACCTTTGACTGGACGCGCTATCGTGAAGCGCCACGGCCATGGGCACCATTGACAAAGGTGCCGGGATCCTCCGGCTGCCGTGTCTGCTGGGGAGTCGCAGAGACCGCGGCCAGGTTGTCGGAGCGGCTCGTCCGGTGTCGCAGCCCGGCCCGATGACCTCCGGTCGGGCCAGGCCGTGAGCGGGGCGTGGACCGGTCGCCGGGGCCGGGCCGCGCGCTCGTGTCCGGGCGGAGCGCCCGCGGAGTGCGCCAGCTGCTCTCCCGCGGACGTGGCGCAGTGCGGGCGCGTCACGGTTGTATGGGGAGCACGGAGCGGCGCAGCGCGGCGCGGCGCGGCGCGGCGCGGCGGCTGCGACCAGCGGAAAGCGGAGCAGGCCGGCGAACGGGAAAACGCCGCGTCGATCCGCTCACGCCAGCACGGGAAGCCGAACGGAGTACATTTGGTGACGCAGCGGCGAGGGCCACGCCAGCCGTGCCGGGCTGGAGCCGTGCCGGGGGAGCTTGGCCGCCGGCCGGTGTCGCCGGACCGGCCGGCCGCGTGTCCGCGCTGTCGTCTCTCCTGCACCGGCTCCCGTCGCGCCGGTGGGCCGGCGTGAGTCGCGGCCCAGCCGGCGGCCGGCCGGCCGATGCTTTCCTTGGTTGGTCCAACGCTCGGCGCGGTGCGCCCGCCGGGGCCACGCACGGAGGGCCGGACCCCGCTCCCCGCCGCGGCCTCGCTCTCCGCCGGGACACGCCGCTCCGGTGCCGGTCTCCGGTTGCTTCGGTGAACGCGACGTGCGCTGGACGTGAACGCGGACGCGGACGCGCCCCGGCTGTGGGTGGCGTGGGATGCCGTGTCCACCGCGCGCCGTCCGGTTCCCACGCAATCGCGGTAACGGCCGTCCGTACGCCGTGGATGTAACGGTGGCCGGCGCCGGGGCTCGGGGGCCGTCTGCACGCACACGCAGTGCGGGCCGGCGGGTGGGCGGGCCGCCAGCGCCGGCGTCAGGCGCGCCGCCGGCGCTGACGCGGCGGTGCCGGTCTCGGAGCACGCTCCGTGCCCCCTCCCCTCCCGTCCCCTGCCCTCGTGGAGCCCTGCGCGTGACGGGTGGCGGCACGGAGCGCGGCCGTCGTGAAACCGGAGCGGCGGCGGTGCTGGCTCCGGGAAGGGCCGCCGGACGGGACTGCATCCGGCCGGCGGGGCCGGCGCTGTGTCATCGGCGGAATGGCCGCGGCCGGGCTCACGGTGGGCAGGAGCAGGGTCCGGCTGGGTCAGAAATGGCTCGGACGGAGGGGTGTTGATCTGAGAAATGGGCCGGTTGGGTCAGGCGGGGTCCGGCCCAGCCCTGGCCTTGGGGGCTCCGGACATACTTGGCCGACGCTAGTCTATCGGGTCGGTCCATAACGGGCACGGGGGCGGGATGGGGGAGGGGCACATCTGCACCCTTCTTGGTCGACGTGATGTCGTTTGAAAGCCGTACCCAGAGCGACGGCAGGGTACTGTCTTGGGCGGCGGAAACCGTCCTGACCGCGCGCCACAAAGTCGCCGAGAACGCCGGGAGCGCGGTCACGGACTGCGGACGGCGCCCCGCGGTGCACGCGAGCCGTCCCCGACGCGGGCGGCCGGTGCAGGGTGTCGGGGTCAAATATCGGCCCCGCCGCGGCCGCCGTCGGCCGGTGCGCCGTGTCCGCGCGCCCGTCCGTGCCGGCCCCGCGGGCCGCGCACCGCTGGCATCGTCGGACCGCCGGCCGCGCGTGAGCCCGCCAGCAGCGGCGTGCGAGCAGCCTTGGACTCTGAGGAGCGAGAGCGACCGCCTGTTTTTCCTCAGCCGGCTGTCTTGTGTGCAGGCCTGACCCTGGCGCGGTGGTGTCGTCGCCGCGTGGGAGCTCGGTGCGGCTAACCGGCGCTGCTCGGTTTCCGCTTCTAACCGGTGACCCGTCGACAGGCTGTACCTGCGGGACAAGCTGTCGGACGCCCTATGGACGGAGAGCTTCGCCATGGACCCGCAGGTGATCCGCGACTACTTCTCGCGCTTCATGTGCCAGCCGCGCGACCGCGAGTACCCGGATCTGTGCCAGCTGCCCGACCTCACCGAGGAGACGCTGCTGGGCAACCTGCGCGCCCGCTTCGCCAGCGGCCACATCTACACGTACGTCAACTCGATCCTGATCGCGCTCAACCCGTTCAAGTTCTACCCCATCTACAACCCCAAGTACGTGAAACTGTACCAGACGCGGCGGCTGGACGAGCTGCCGCCGCACATCTTCGCGCTCGCCGACGCCGCCTACCAGAAGATGTTGCGCGACGGCCGCAACCAGTGCATCGTCATCAGCGGCGAGAGCGGCAGCGGCAAGACGGAGAGCACCAACTTCCTGCTGCACCACCTGACGGCGCTCAGCCACAAGGGCGCGCTGGCCTGCGGGGTGGAGCAAACCATCTTGGCGGCCGGCCCCGTGCTGGAGGTCAGTGTGCGGGGACGGGGTGGGGGCTGGTGAGATGGGGCGGGGCGGGGCCAGTTTACTGGAAGGTCCGTGTTAAGGGGTGGGGGAGGGGTCGGCTGTGGGGGGGGGGGGGGGAGGGGATTCTGAGAGGTTCTCCCCGTGTTTGAAAGTATCGCCAGAGGGGCGCTCCTAGGAGGCGACGCGTGATGAGAGGTCATTGTGGGTATGCGGGGGGGGGGGGGCGGATGTGGTTTAGTGCCGCGCTGTGCTTTGTAGGGAAGCGTGCTACGAGGGCCCCACGTGGTGACGAGGTGGTGAACCACCTTTGGGTTGGGGACGGAGGGCAGTGTTGCGCGGACGACGGTTTGCGGCGAGATGCCAGTGCCGTTCCGCTGGGCGGCGGGCCGCTGGGCCGGCCGTTCGTGTTGTGCTGAGCAGATGGCTAGGAACTGCGCCCCTGGCTGATGCTGCTTCTGACCCTGGAGAATGGGCCCGCGTGATCTGTGTGTGGTCGTGTGCTCACGCTTGTGTGATATGTGTCTGACCCCTGTGGAAAGGTGCTTGGGGACTAACCTTGTGGTTGGGGATGTGCCGACGGCGCGGTATCGGTGAACAGGATGTGGACCCGGTCGTGTCATACGAGGGAGTTTATGTGCAGATAGGCGAACTGAGGCTTAAGTGATCTGGGTACCGAATGTCATGCTTAAGTCCCGTCAGGCCGCGTGCGGGTTTTGTTCCTCGCGTTGGCCGTCTATGGTAACTAAACAAGCTGTCTGATCCGAAAAACAGATATGGATAGTTGCACGGGTAAGCCATGGTGTTTCTGTAATTATTTGGCCCATTCTTCGATGGTCCCGTTTCGCGTTAGTGGAGCGCACAGCGGCTTCTGCTGAGTGCGACGCCATCGACTCACCGTTTGACGCGGAGAATAGCTCCTGACGCAGCGGAGGCTGGTTCGCGAGAGGTGGTCTGAAGACGTCGGCGCCGTTTCGCGCGCCTGCCAAGCAGATGCGGTCCTGGCCGCTCCGTGCCAAGGCGTATTGCCGGTGCTCAACCGTTAGCGCTTGGCCCCGAATGGGCCTTCGATTGCTCGTTGGCGGCCTGTCTGCCAGATTTGGCGCGGCGTGAGCTGCGGCGGAGGGTACCACCGCGGGTTTTATTGAAGGGCCCCGCCTGTGATCGGCGTCGAGGTGTCGCAGGCCTCGTAGTATCGGCCCGGTCGGAAGCCAGATGTCTCGTGTAGCGCCAACCCCGCCGCACTAACGTAAACTCGGCGGGCCGCCTGCGGTTCCGGCTCGGCCGGCCGTCAATCGTGCGCACCCAGCGCGCCGCCGCGCGGCGGCCGCCGGGCCCCCATGATATCACCGCTCGGGGCGGCTCGTTGACGATTGCCGGCGCCCGGGTTATGCGGCGAGCGCGCGGCTTCGGTCATGCGGCCCGGTCGGAGCCGTGTCGTCGGATGGCGCGGCGCCGGTGGCCTTGTTGGGAGAGCTCGGCGGCAGCGGCCGCCGTATCAGGAGTGCCGCTGGACGGAGTGAGCCGGCGCCGTGGGTTGGACAGGTCGGCCGGGCAGGGCCAGGCGCAGGGGCCGCGCCTGTCCGCCGTGCTGGGCGGCGCCGCCCGGGCACTAGCTGTGACCGTTGTTGCACTTCACGGGCGCCGACGGGGGCGGCTCTCTTGGCACAGCGCCTTCGCACTGGTGTGTCGTGTATGCGTCTCATTGTTCCATGGGCACTTCTCTGTAGTGCCGAGGTATTGCCACGCGGCGTGCCGTATATCCTTCCCGTTGTCGGCACGTGATCTATCTTATACGCTTTCCCCCTGTCGCTTGACGTGCAGCTTAGAGCCCCCTTTGTCGCCACGTGTTGTGATCAGCTGACCGTCCCCACTGTCGCTGCCCGTCTGCTTGCCCCCCCTCCCCCCTTATTAACGTTATGGTGCCAGGGTCGCATGATCGGCCACTGTTGCCATGTGCTGTGTTGTGTCAGCTTCTGTTCTACCGCTGTTATCTGCTCCGAGTCATGGCTGATATCGTCACGGCCCGTTCAGGCCCCTCGTTGTGAGGTCAAGCTTACGGGTTGCACCACCGCCTCCATCATGACCCTCAGGCGGCGCGCTGTCCCTCGCAATGCGTTGAAAGTCGGCCTGCGTCCCCATAGCCGTCGCGCCCTAAAGCCTAAATCATCACCATGCCTATGAGGTTCGCCCAGTCGGTGGGTTCCTGGGTGGGGTCCCTCGCGTTTCTGGCGCGGTGCTCGGTGTGGGTCGAGGCAGGGGCATCTTGGTTGTTCGGCGATTGGCCCGTACGGGAGGTATCCACCATAGGCCATCCACCTGCGCGCGGTTCAGGGGCGGAGTGTCGTTCCCGAAGGGTCCTATCGTGGTATCGTGAGTTGAAAACAGCCGTGAGCCACCAGCTTGTCGTCAGTTGGCTCCACAATCGTCACTTTGTGTGATGTAGTTCGGAACCTAATCGGAAAGTTACCATAACCGGCCCACCGTCATAGTCGAGGATAAGCAAACGGCCGCAGTCACCGCGTGGTCGTGACGAGGGCATCATCAGTCATGAGTTTTGTCACCATTCCCTCGCCGTCCTCGTTGCTATGGTCTCAGGTTACTGCCGGGCTCCTGATCAATGATGTCATCTGTCACACCAGGGTCGTTTGTCACCGTCGTTATCTCGTCATTCGCCAAAAGATCGGCTCGGGTCAGACGAGTCATCGTTGAAAATCATGCTGTTCACACGAGGCGTTGGAGAGCGTGCTGGGCTGGCCCCGCCGGTCTCTGGGACCGGGAGTGGCTCGCGGCGGTCTCACCTCGCTTCACTCCCGTCACAGGCTTTCGGCAACTCCAAGACGGCGCACAACAACAACTCGAGCCGGTTCGGCAAGTTCATCCAGGTGAACTACAAGGAGAACGGCCAGGTGCACGGGTGAGTGAGCCGCGCGCCTCCTCCCCTCCCCGATTCTCCTCGACCCTCCACGGCGTGCGGCGGCGACCCCGACTGCGCTTGACCTGCCACAGGTGGGGCACCAGGATATCCGCCGGCGCCGCGTCAGAATCCCGTAATCCGTCAGCCACTCGCGCTAATGAAAATAGCCGCCGGCGCTGGCATGTTGATGGCGCTCGTACGTCAGCTTGTCCCGTGAAATGGCACCGGGCTGTCGGCGCCAGCAGGTTAATGGAAGCGCCGCTCCGTCTGATGAATTCGCTGCTCCGCTGACGGCCGTGACGCCGGACTGTCGGTGGGCTCTGACGTAAACACGGCGCGCGCTACGCCGCGCCGCGCCCGGTCTCGGGTTAAGCGGCGCTGAGGTACGGCGCATGGTGGCGTCTCGCGGTGCGGTGTCTGCCGCCGCCGGCTCGCCGGCGCTCGGCTCGTGTGGCGGATGCCGCCCCATGCGCCTGTATCTCGCGCCGCGGCGGTGTGTTGACGTTTAGTTCTGGCGCCGGAAAGCCTGAGGAACGATCGCGTATCTCGCACCATGTCGCTGGCAGCTGTTGCAAGCGGTTAGCGGTTCGACACCTCCCGGCTTTTTTCACTCATGTCGGATCCATGTTTCCGTTTTAGTGATGGTTAGGTCTGACGGGCGCATAAACTGTTGGCCATGTTTCCGTTTCAAGGTCATGGACCAAACGCCGCACAAAGTGGCCGTGTGCCCGGACGGCCGGCAATGTCAGCTGTTTGCCGCTCGTGAAGGTCGAAGCTCTCGGCTTTCGCCATCCGATTCCGCGCGCGGCTTTCGCGCCAGCTCCCCTTTCACGCGGTGGCCAGGCCACGTCCCGGCAGGGCGGTGTTGCTGTCGGCTCCGCCGCAGGAGACATGGCCCGGGCCGCGACGTGAGGTCCTCCGGCATCAGCACGGGTCGGACTGCCCTGGCTGATCTGTCCTGACCTGGCCTGACCTAACCTGACTGACCTGAGCCTGAGCCTGAGCCTGAGCCTGACCTGAGCCTGACCTGTCTCGTATATGCCACTAACCATGTCACGGACCTTCCGTGCAGCGTCCGCGAGAGCCGCCGTGTTACATGCTGTCGTTGATGTACCGGTGATGTGAGCAAGTGATCTGATCGTGTCCCCCGCTGGCCTGCCTCGCACCTGTCCCTGACGCGCCTCCGCATATTCTGTCACTGACGTACTGGGGAACTGGTGGCGGTCTGTCATGCAGCTGAGGCCGGAGTCTCGTGGCTCAGTGCCGGTCCCGCAGCGGTCGAGGGGTGGCTGATATGGTGCCGGCTGTGTTATAGATCTGCGTCACACGTGGCGTGTCGTATGTCGCGACGTTATGTACTGTTCGTGGCCGTTCCACGCGTCTTAAAATAAGCGAAGGATGGTCTGTTCTACAAGTTGGGAGGTCTGGTGCTGAGCCGTTCAGCTGCCGCTGATTTGCCTGCCGGCTGAAATGAACCTCATGAAATGAACCGATCTGCGACCTGCTCATTTCCCCATCTCCTATTTTCCCCTCCGCTGGCATTTAGTGGCATGACAGTGAACTAGGACCACATGCCGTCTCGGATCAGCCAAGAAATAGTCGTTCGCCTCGCTGTGACCTTCCATCTGGCTGCCGCTCAGCAGTCCTGGGACTCGCTGTAGCCTGTCGGCCGTCTGTGACCCTACACTTACGTGTCGCTTACCAGCCCACGGCCCCGCACTGGTTGGGTTCGTCCACGTTCGTTAGCGCGCGGCTTCTCTGACCTGCTGCTGACTCCTGTTGTCTCCGCTCCGCCGTTTTCAGGGCCGTGGTGCAGAAGTACCTGCTGGAGAAGTCGCGGATCGTGTCGCAGGCCCGCAACGAGCGCAACTACCACGTGTTCTACTATCTGCTGGAGGGCGCTTCGGAGGAGGAGCGGCGGCAGCTGCACCTGCTGCCGCCCTCGCAGTACCGCTACCTCAGCCAGGTGAGAGAGGTCGAGCCGGGGCCTGGCTGAGGCCGGCAGCGGGGGGACTGAGGCTGGCGGGGAGTTCCGGCGGCGGGCGGACTGAGGCTAGTGGGGGAGTCGTGCTGCCGTGGGCGCTGCACCGGCAGCGGAGGACGACGACGCTGGCCGGCTGCAGAGGGCGGGGGCCTCGGCCGAGGCGATAGCGTGTGCCGTCAGGAGTCCGGTCCACGGTCTGGAGCGCCCCGCCGGCGCGAGGTACGTCCTCTCGTGACAGAGGCCACTTCGATGCGGCGCTCCCCTGCGGGTCGGGCGAGATGCTTCGTGATGACACCAGCTGGCGGATTCGCCCGTCACGCCTTCTTCGGTGGACATTCCTGAGCCGGCCCAGACGCGGAACAGCCCCGCCTCACCACCTCCTCGGTCACGTTCACGATACGCCCCTACGCCACTCGGACATTGGCACCAACACTGGAGACCGCTTCGGACAGCTAGACGTGGCGTCTTCGGGGTCTGCGCCGGCCCGTACCCCCCGGGCCGCGCGGCGGCTGTCCTTACCCACCGCAGCTCCCGCCTGCCGTCGCTGCTAAGATAGGCCAAATAAACAGCCGTCGCCCGGCGTCGCCGGTCGGCCGGGCTTGAGCCGACCGCGTCAGCGGCGCCGATCGCGGCCGCTCCGATTAATTACTGCTAATGAAGGGCGCCGCCGCAGGGTGGGGGAGGGGGAGGGACGGCGCCCCGCCGTCGACCAGCCGACGCGGTGTCAGCAGCGCCGGAGGAGGCTGGTGGACGCCCTCCTCCGTCGCCGCTGGACGGCAACAGCGCCCTCTTTGGCCACCCTGGAAGCGGCGACCAGGCCGGGTCGGGCCGGTCTGGCGCAGGTGGACCGCGGCGTGGCGTTGGTCGGCCGTCGGTGGTGGGTGTCTCGTCGGTTGCTCTGCTGCCGACGGCGGTCGTGCGTTGGTGTCGACGCCGGGCGGGGGACGGGACTTGGCGCGGTGAGCATGGCAGTGGTGTCCGTCTCATGTGCCCTCCCCCGGCACTGGTCACCTGTGGGGCCGGTGCTGCGCGGGCGGGCCGTGGCGGGCCGTGGGAGCGTGCTTCGACACGGCCTGTCGGCGGCGACCGGCGCGGCCGTGGCGCGGTGACCTCGGAGATACACTGACGACATCGGTGGCGTACTTGCCGCTGCATTGACGGCGGCCGCCCGTGAGATCTAATACGCCGGTGTTCAAGAGAACCTGTGTGTCGAGTAGACATCTCACGTCCCGGCAATTTTTTTCTGCGACCGGCTGGTCTCTGTGGCATCTGTTGTGCCGGTGAACGGATCATGAGGCGTGCCTTGATGCCCGACGGATCGGGAAGATGTTCACACGGTTGACCGCCCGTCTCCCGGCCCGCCGTCGACCCCCGTCATACCCCGTTTACCGCCGCTCTCCCGTTGGCGCCACCCGTCCCGGCGGCGGTCCCGTCCCTCCGACCTGCTAGTCTGCGTCGTTCACGCGGACCAACAACCGCAGACGGACCGGACGGAGACCGGACCTCATGTCCTCGTGACGTCTGGCGCTCGGCGACCGGTCGGTCGGTGACGTGTGACCCGGTGACCGGCCGGCGGCGGTGACGGGCGCGGCCAAGGCCGTCCCAGCGCGGCGTCGGAAGCGGCTCTGCATTGCAATGGGGTGCGCCCAGCTTGAGTAAACAAGTCGGCGATGAGCTCACGGCTCTGACGCCCCGGCCGGCCGCGACCGGCGGACGGATGGTGCTCTGGACGGCCGGCCGCGGCGGGCGGACGGATGATGCTCTGGACGGCCGGCCGCGGCGGGCGGACGGATGGTACTCTGGACGGCCGGCCGCTCTTATCGAGGAGGGGGGGGGGAATGCGCCCTCTGGAGGGTGATGGTCCTCTGGAGGGCGACGGGCCCTCCGGAGGGGAATGCGCCCTCTGGAGGGAACGGGTTTTTGGGAGGGGGATATGCCCTGGTCCTTTGGGGGGGATGATTGGTCCTCTGGAGCGCGATGCCCCCCCCCCCCCCCGGACGGGAATGTGCCCTCTGGAGGGTGATGGGCCCTCGGGAAGATTACGAGTGTCTGGAGGGATGCTGGCCGACCTGGATGGGATGAATCCTCTCTGGGCGACGACAGCTGCTATAGAGACGATCAGAAATGTTTCGGCACCGCAGCGCTGCAGCCTGCGGGTGCCCACGACCTCGAGAGTGGTGCGCTGGCGGGCCGCACCGGAGTCGCCGTACATAGCCGCGCTATGATTCCGGGCCGCTGCATGATTCCGGGCCGTGATTCCAGTCCGCTGCATGATTCCGGACGGTCGGTGCAGTCGGTGGACGACTGCACCGACGGCCGCCGAAACGCCGCTGTTCGCGTGCAGGGTTGGCGGCCGCCACAGCCGGACGGTCCCCTGGTCGGACCCCCTGCGGCGTCTGCTCCCTCGGAGAGCCCGGGAGCCGCACCGACGGCTGGCGGCGCGTCGAACGGACGTCACCGGCAGCTTCGGTGGTGTTTGTTTTGAGCGGCGGCCGCCGCCGCCGCCGCTGTCCGCCGCCGTCCTGCCAGGGGAGGGTGAGGCGGGGGACGGTATCCCCTCCTGGCATGGTCTAGTTCGCGGCGGACGCTCCGGAGCGCGCCGGCCAAGTGGCGCGCCGCTGTGCGCCGGCTAGGGTTTCCTGGCATGCGCGCCGACACGGTGCTGACCGTGCCACGGGCGCCGGCCAGCGGCTGCGGAGGCCGGGACCGGCGTACCGGCGGGCCGGCGGGCGTGCTGGTGTGACGTCGCAGTGCGGCGTTGATGGACATATTGCTGCTCCGTCGCGGACGCGATGTAGGAACAGTCGGGCTTGGTGGTCCTGGTGTTGACGCAAGAAAGGTGTGATTCTTTCCGGGCGGCCCGGAAAGGCTGGGACATGACGGCCCGGGAGAGGTGCGGGGTCCCTGTCCGCACAGCTCTCAGTCAGTGGTGCGGCCGGGCGGGGTGATGAACCAATAGCTCTGCGAGGGGCACGAGGAGTCACCGTCGCAGCTGACTCACGTGACACGCTGCTGCGCCACCCCGACATCGGCTGGCGCTGCAGGCAAGAGTCTAGGACAAGGAAAAGCATATCGCCCGCGGTCAGGCGCTTACTTCAAGTCTCAACAAATGATTGCCCACATAGCGAGTGGCTGCAGAGGGTCACAGCATCCCGCCCGCGCCAGCCGTCCAGCACTGGATCGCCTGTCGCCCTGGTGTCGTATGTCAGACGGCAGGAGGCACGGACAGGGCCCTTCACGGTCTCCGTCGCCACCGGCCGGCGCGGTGAGGCGGCTGCTCGACGCGGAGAGGGTTTGTTGATACTGAACGTCACACGCTGCACGGCGGAGGGGAGCGCGCCGGTTTATCGTTGACGTTTCGGGGAGCAGTTTGTTTTTACGACAGCGTCATAAACGGCGGGACAGTCATCTTTTTGCTCGTCGTTTAGAGCACGACCGGCCGGACACGCCTGCCCCGGTCGGCCGTCGTCTGTCATGCTGCGCTCGCGGGATCATGTACGCGGAATCGACGAGGCGCGTCCAGTGAATGGGCTACGCGCGGACTATGAACACTGCTACGGCGGTGTCACGCACTGCGAGTGGTGGACCCTTTTTAAGGAAGCCCAGAACCACGTCACAGAGTCTGCTTACGCTGCCAGCGGTCGTTCTGGATTTTGTCACTGGGTCCCGCGCTGTCGCAGCCTGGTGGTCGCAGCGCTCTGCAGCCAACACCACTCCACCATCAAAGCTGGCCTGTTACAATCTTTAGTTTATAGGCGTCCCCGGCTGGCTGGAGGCCGCGGCCGGCGCGGGACTTCCGCCGCGGCGGGCGCCAGGTGTGGCCCATCCGTCGGTGGCGCCGGGAGCCGGCCGCTGCTGCGTCGTCCGTGTCAGCCCGGTGGCCACAGTCGCTGCCGTGTGTCGGGTGCTGGCGCGGCGGCGGCGCCGGCTGGCCGGCTGCCAGGCGCGCTCGGCGCGCCCCGCGTGCTCGGCGTGCCTGCCGCCGCCGCCGCCGCCGCGCCGCGCCGCCGTACACGATTGACGTAGGTCGGTGCGTAGCGCGCCGCTCCACGCCGCGCCGCGCCGCGGGCCGTCACGTGCGGTGCCCCGCGCGCCCGGCGGCGGCGGCGGTCAGGTCGGCGCCGCGGCCGGCCGGGCGCACGGCGACGAGTGCTGACGGATCGACCGATAGGCGGCGTCGTGTCCGTGATAAATGTCGGCGAGTCGCTGTCATGTCGCGGCCGGCAGCCGTCGACGCCGGACCCGAATTAGCCCGTCGCCTGCCTGCCAAGGCGCGCGCAATTTAACGGCGCGCCGCCGAGCGCGGCCGCGCGGTCGGCAATGGGGCGATGTCGACCGCGCGGCGGGCGGCGCGGGGTCCGCGCGCGCCGCCGGTCGGCCGCGCCTCGGTCGCCGTCGATTAGGGCGTATCGGTCGGGTCATCGCCGGCTTGGACGGCCGCCGGCGGCTGACGTTTGAGTGGCGGCCGGCGGTCCGGCGCCGCGCGCCCTTGGCCAAGTCGTGCCCGCTCGAACTGTGCGTGCTCAGACAGGCCGAACGGAGGCGCACGCCGCCGGTGGAGGAGCGGCGCTGGCGGGCGGCCGCTCGCGCAGTCAGGCGCGGCTGCCCCGGCCGGTGAGGCGCAGGATGCTCCGGCTGGCGGTGGCTCGTTCACCAGGCCGGGTCGGGGGGGGGGGGGGGGACTGCTGCTGCGCGGAGCGAGGCGTAGGGGACGGTCGGCCGCGGCTCCATGGGGTGATGAGACTGGAAGGGGGCTGAGAGGCAAGAGGAACGGGTCCAGAAGGAAGCGGCACGCGCGCGTGGTCCGCCAGTCAGATGTTGTGTTGGTATGTTGTTGGCGGTGCGGGTTATTTATGTGTTGTTTGCGCCGTAGATTCACCTTGACACGAAGGGTGACGGAGAGATGTGAGCCGTGTCACGCCAGGTGAGGGAGCTCCGCAGGCGATGCGGAAACCTCATCCTTGTTCCACGCGCCAACCTGAGTCCCCTACATATAAATGTATCTCCACATCCCAGCGTTTGGGCAGGTTTAGGGTCGCGCCGTCCGTCAGGCATCTGCTCACGTCACTTACGTACACATGCCACTCTGTGACCACAAGCAGGAATCGACCATTCATGCCGGCCGGCTTTCTGACGGGGTGAATCACTGCGCCAGCGCTCCCAGCAGGCAAACTGGAGCGAGCGCACGCCGAGTGACGCGTGTGACTCAGTGCGCGCGTGACGCGCGGCTCTTGATTCGCCGCGCGCCGGCCCGCTGGCGTGGTGCCGTCGTCGGCAAACTGGCGGACAAAGCGCGCCGCCGACCCATGATGTGTGGCGGCTAAAGTTGCGGCGAATTCCCCAGCGGCGGCCGGTTGAGCAATTGGCAAGCGTTGAGGCGGCACGCCTTGGCATGGTTTCATTTGTTGATTGTGTGCTGACTGGAGGGCAGCCCTCCTTTGTTTTTGTCGAGCCTTGTCGTTGTTGGACACAGGGCGAGTTTGGGTGGAGTTGTCCGTGTCGGTGTCAGGACCGGGGTGAGACTAAGATGTGTGGCGTCTGTCCAGAGCGAACACTTGATCCAAAATGGGCCGAGTATGCAACGCGCTTATTATCCAGCACCTCGACGCAATCGTGTTGGACCAATCCGTTGTCCGTTCGCAACATGCCGCTGCCGTCTCCTGTGATGTTCGCTGGCGTATGATGACCGCGTCACTAAGCCCACGTCGCCTTTGAGCCCCGCTGACCCCTGGCCGCCGTTTCAGAGCGAGTGCAATAGCCTGGAGGGTGTCGACGCCAAGTACGAGTTCAGCCGGCTGAAGC